ACGTCGACGATAGCATTTCTTCTCATTCCATTGAGGATTTTTAGTTACCCAAACGATGAAAGCAGCAAGAGCACCAACATCAATTATGTTGAAGAAGAAAGTCATTGGCCATCGTTTTGTTTTTCGTTTACATGAATATGTCTGAACCATCTGGTCCATTCGATCGACACCTCCTTTTATATTGTTGTAATATAAAATAATTTCTGTTTTTTTCTTTTTCTCATCGACAATTGTTTGATCATGATGAAGGGATGATAACAAAATCACAGCATGTGCTTTCTTAGGTACATAGCTAACTAACGTTAGCTGACAATCAAAACAAAATATCGATGATTGTTCAGGACGATGAGTATCAGGCTGCAGATGTCGTGGAATTTCCTTCTTATTTCGTCGAATAGTTCCAACTAAAGTCGTTTGAACACCTAGAAGATCTTCCGCCAACTCTGCACTAGTAAAATAGTTATCCGTGGTAATTGTCCGTCCTGTATTGATCCAAGGATGTACCAACTGTTTCACTAGGTTACGAATTCGATCTTTATCTTTAGCTGCAGTTGGTACTCCAGGCTGACGTCCCAAATAAACTTCAGTATTCAATGGATATGCTGTATCTGAGTCACAACACCGGAAGATCTTTAACCCATACTTTCCAGGTTTACTAGGTATATATTGACGAAAATTGCATCGACCACGAGTTGGTATTAGCTGTTCGTCGACGGTGAGTGATCCACCAGGCATGTAGCATATTTGTAGGCGGGCTAAGAACATTGTCCATAAATCTCTTATTGCTGCCAGTTTATCGACCTTCAATCTTTCCTCTCTCGTTGTTGTATTATCAAATCGGCAAAATTGCAGCAAACTTTTGAAACGGTTCTTGGTCATAGTTGCTCGAAATATTGGTCGTCCATGGATCAATGATCATAGTTCATCCAGAGTTTCATTTTTTGCTCGATGAACACCTGCGAGGAGCAATAGCCCAATGAAAGCCCACATTTCTTCAAGGTCTGTGTCTCTCCATTGACTTTTTTCATTAGGGTTTTCTTCACTCCATCGTTCTAAGAGTAGATGCGCTCGTCGGTTGGTTTCTTTGATCAAAAGAAGAACCATTTCCTGAGTGATCAGAAGTTGAAATGCTTCTTTCAGAGTTTGTATATCTGCTGCTGGTCGACCAACACCAGTTCGCTGTCGCAAGATATTAGCAATTGGAACTTTTTTCTTGGGAGGTTCTTTCGATGTCCATTGTCGACATGATTTTGAAGAAAATATTTTAACCGGTGTTGGTTTAACTTGTGATTTAAGTTTTGCTCGACGTCTAGGTGATTCCTCGTCACTCATACTTTCGGTATCAATACTATTTTCATCAGATTCATCACCTGAATCCTTTTCAACCATACCATCATCTGATTCATCAGAAGTATCTTGAAGAGTAGAAGGTATTTCCGCATCTTCAGAATCATGATTTACATTGGTATCTTCGTCGCTGGACTTGTCATCGAAATGTTCCGAGTCTTCGAGCCAATATTTACATTGATTGAAGTTAGAGCGTTTTCTTTTACCCATGTGTTTTGATAATAGTCGTTAACGATGCAAAATATAGTGATTTTATTGCTTCGAGCAAGAGATATATATATCTTTTTGCGCAAAATAAGAAAGAATTCAGTAGAGCATAATAGAAAAAAAAGAAATTACGAGAAGATTCAAAAGAGAGTACATGTCATCTATGTAGAAGGAACGAGAAAAAAATAGATGTACTTGAACATACTAGAGAAATGATATATGCAACCACGTATGATGGTAGAACGAAATAAAATATACATGGAACATGTATATATCGTGACGTCATGGCAATAGCAGAAAGAAAGAAAAGATGTGTATATAAGATTACTATGCAAAAGTACTTTCGATGAAATAGACAACTTTCTATATTTGAGACAAAATTATCTGAAAACTAACAGAAAGCCTGTAGGAGCACTCAAATATACAGAATACAACGTTCTAAAGTCATTAACATGCTTTTCAATTTATTTGACAGCTCTGGCATATCCTCACAAGAGCGAAAAAATGATACACAATATGAAAATAAAAAGTCATAATCAAATAAAAAGTCATAATTAAATAAAAAGCAAAAACTAATGTTATAATATGGGGTCCGGACGGACCCCAGGTGGGCAATAAGCGTATATTTGTACTTTGGGATAATTTATGTCATAGACAATCAATGATGATAAGCGAATGCTGGCAATGATATACTCTACTAGTCTTTACTAGAGCATATCTAGAGAGGTGCTTTATGATCTACGATTATGGGTGTAAAACATTAGAATGAAACCACTTGGGGTCCGCGCGGACCCCAGGTGGGCGTTTCAGGGTTAAGGGTGTGGGTGAGTGGGTGTCGATGCCTAGAAGATGCACACCCACACCCACCCTTTTCATTTTTTCACTACTTTTACAAGTCAGCTGCTTGATTATAAATGTTCATTCTTAATGTGACGACAAACAAAGTTCATATTTCAGAAGTATACTTGTTTCCTATAGACGGTATTTTTCCTTTTTCTTCTTTCATTTAATGAACCAATACCGCATACAATGAAAACAGCTTTCTCTATTATAACCTAAAGTACCACTCATATTGATTCTATTCCTTGAACATAAATTAATAATACTTTATTTTTATTTCTATTTTGCCACCCACTTGCCCTCGTTGAAGACTCATAAGTGTTGTCATCATTAGTTACGTCCTAACTGACTAACAATGGAGGTGTTTGTGTCGTAAGCTGAAAAGACTAGATATTTTTACACCAAAAGAAAGCTCTCACCGCCAAACTAACAAGGTTAAAATATTAGCTGCTGTTGGCGCGTCGTTAGAGAGATATTCAATTTTTACGATATTCATAGTTAGGGAATATAAGCACCTTAGAATTATTTACATTAATTTTTTATGCAGTCAACTGAAGATTTTAATAGTAGGTTACAAGAATCTTTCTGAAATTTATCAATAACACTAATATCACTTTAGTTTCAATGTCTCTAGAACTTAAGTAGTATCA